GAAAAGAAGGAAAAATTATTGATGTGATGGAAAATATTATTTTATTGAAAAATGTGTAATTGAAAATGAGTAGAAGAATGAGAATGAAAATTTTAATGTGACTCAAACAAGGACTGAATATAGAAATTCATTATTTATATAATCAATGATATTACTAGTAATAACAAACACAATTCGTATGTTTTCCTCTTCTGTCACCTATTAATTTAAATTATAGTGGTTGATTGTTGAATATACAACTTGACGTTCCCTATTTATCATTTTTCCTTTTAATTTCTTTGATATTTTCTTTTTTGTAGACATTGTAAAAACTTGGTAAGAGATTTTTGAAGCTTTCTGTTCGTCGAAAACCCTCAAGTATAAGGGATCGTTGACAAGTAATATGTGATGATCGAGTTAAGAGTTTCGTTCCACGGGGAATAACTTTCAATCAAGAGTATTAGTTCTTATTCAGATTAAAAGTAAGCAAGCAAAATAGAATCTTGGCTGTTAACTATTCTAAATTATTTTAAGAAAACTTGTAAAATTCGAGTTTTTTGTTTCTATGAGATAAATGTATTGGATTACGAATCCACCTATTATTCTCTATTTCAATTCTCAACTATGTAGCTAGTATCATTCATCCATTCTTGACAATTGATAAATCTATTGTAATTAATNCACAAAATAAGATTTGGAAAAACATTGCCCGGAATGAAAAATAATGAATGAAAGGTGAAAACTCAATTTCTTCTTTGTATTTCTTCAATCCGGACTTTGAATTTTCAATCTTTTGTGATAATCACATTTGAATATTGTACTAGCCTCTTTCTTTTGGTGAAATTTAGGATTTGATATGCTCTGAGTCATTCACTCCGTTCATGCCCCCTAGAATGTAAGTTAAATTTGATTTTTATAGGAATTTGGATAAAATCAGAAAATTGGGCTGTTCAAGCTCAGAATTAGCATGTGCGCGCACGCCGTGTTATTCCTTGTCCGCGCGCTGTTCAATTGGTTTAATCTCGGTAGATAAAAACTAACCCCGTGCGCGCTCGTAGGCATAAAATCATCCAATTGTTACACTTGAGTCCCCGAATTTCATTATTTGTTTATTTTAGTTCCTTCTTCGTTAAATTGACTCCAACATCTATCCAATCATCGACATTAGGTTCGAATCATCTATTAGCATTTTGCGATTTAGTCCCCAACTTTGGATTAGGTCCACCTTAGCCAAGTTTCTGCCTCTTTTCTTTATTTCCATGATTTTTCATCGAAATGCACATAACAAACAAAATATATACAAAACTAAGCCTCCATTCATTTAAAATAACAATAATTACTCTAATTTAATGGTACAGAGAAGTGTATAAAATACACTTATCAAACACCACCAACCTTGATCAATTGTTTATCCTCAAACAAAATAAAGTTTAACTACAAAAATTAAAAATTTCAAATTAACCTGGTTGGATAATCTGCTTTTACCTTTAGAATTGAACTTTTAGAGTTGAAGCTATAAACTATTTCAAAATCACAATGTTAAATCAATCTCTACTTATTCAATGCAAAATCGACGTGTGTGTGTGTGTGTGAAGATTCATGTAAAGCATCACAAAGTAATAAATTGATTCAATTCCCGACTCTTTATGGCCATATATTTCCTTTATTCGCTCGTAAGATACACACTCCCAAACTTAATTCTTTTTCACTATTTTCCCAATGTGCAATCTAAGGTTGACTTTGTGATATAATATTAATCATCACCCTCTCTAGTTTGGTTCAATTTTTGCTAATTGCAGCTCAACAACTCAATAGATGCGAATTCTCCTTATTTTTTATTGCTTCAACCTCTAAGAATCAATTAAGCTAATAATCACTCGTCAAAAGTCCAATTCTATCAATGAGTTTTCGGGGCTAAATCAAGACATGTAGAATTTTTATTTTTTTTATTTACTGTGCAAACTCCTGTCTATTAAGATTTCTAAATGACTCTTGTAGCGAGTTTTCAGCCGATGACTCTCAAGTCAGATGACCATAGGGCACCAGGTTTTTAGAGACCCTTGCAAGCTTAATCACTCGAGTCATAAATGCTACAAAGAGAAACTTCACAATAAAATAACGACATTCATTTGTTTATTTATGCATTTTTTTCTCTTTCTTTTATGATCCGTGCAATGCCCCTTATTGAACACTCATTCTCAAAAATCGATCCTTAACTTAAGATATCAACCTAATTTTCACTTTATTAATCTCAGACAATCCACACAAAATTTCACACATATGAAATCCACATCTATCTCAATGTCTCCCTACAACAACTTAATCACCCCAACTATCTAAAATTGATTTAAGGATGTATAATATAACGGTTGTTCAGGTTATGCATCTATGGTCCATTATTTTCAACATATTCAACAATATGAATCAAAATTTTTTTTTCACAATGCAGAACATAAATCTTGTACTCAAAAATATCAAATTCCACATAAATATGCACAAACTAACTTAACATATAACTTATCCATAATTTATAGTTAAACTCTATGTTCCAATATATATATTATCGTTAGCAGATTATCTGACCCACACAGACATGCGAAAATACAAAATAAATAATAACAATAATAAAAATGATTTTTTTAAACNTTAACATATAACTTATCCATAATTTATTGTCCAACTCTATATTCCAATAGATACATCATTGTTAGCAGATTATCTGACCCACACAAGCATGCAAAAATGCATAAAGAAGAAGTAATAATTTTTTTTCACACAAACATGCAACAATAACAAAACTCGATGAAAATTAGATGAAAATATCGAAAACCCCACCCCCACACTAGATATAGACATTGCCCTCATTGCCTAAAAATAACATGCAATTTATAAAAATTAAGGACAAAGAATGGAACTAGGTACTCCCCTGATATATATTTGAAGGTGGTGGATGGACTGACATGAAAGTTCTGTCTCACTTGTTATGTATTTTTCCTTATCCAATGTATTCAGGTGACATGTTCCTTCAAAATAGTAAAAATCAATCAAAATATGGAACAATTTATAATAATATCTAACACATCCTAAAGGAAAATATGGGGATAAAGATGCCCTATACTACTAAAATTAATAAAAATTATTTATCCTATATCTAAAAAGTAAAATAGAAGAAAAGAAAGAAAGTTGGGTTGCCTCCCAATAAGCGCTTATTTCTAGTCATTAGCTTGACTTTATTATTTTGACTATTTATGGTAGCTTGAAAAGAGAGTTTTTAGCCTTGCATCGGTTGCATTGACAGTTGTTTTTTAAGTCCTCTTTAAGCCTCTAGATTATAAGATTTCCATCGTTGTCCCGCCCAACAATTCCACCTTCGTCTTTCATGTTCTTATTAATTTCCCAATGATTGATCTTTCGACATTCCTCAATGTCTGAAGTTTGCTTGAGTGGAGCATTCATGGTGAAACTTTGTTGTTTTTCTTCTGCTCTTAAGATTATTTCACCTTTTTCGAAATCCATCAATGCTCGTGCAGTACATAAGAATGGTCTTTCCAAGATTAGCGGCATATGCTAAGCCTCTATATCAAGGATAATGAAATCAGCTGGAAAGAAGTTATCTCCAACTTTGATGAGCATATCCTCTACCACTCTATAAGGATGATTGAGTATCCTATCAGCCAGTTGTAGGATTATTGATGTTGCTTTTAG